TCTGTAGCCCTTGGATTCCTCCTTGGGTTAGGAGTGACCTTGTCGACATTTAACTCAAATCTGATCATCCTGTGATCAGACATCGTTATATCGTTGGTCACTCTCCAGTTAGAAACATCTTCATATACTGACCTTGATGCCAACGTTATGTCTATTACTTCCTTCCGGTTGCAAATGACAAACGTTGGTTCTTTGCCTCTGTTTATTACATCCAAGTCTGTTGATGCCAAATACCCTAGCAGAGATTCTCCCCTGCTATTGGTGTTGGTACTGCCCCACACGTAGTGGTGGGCGTTGGAATCACATCCTAGCACGAGGGGTATGCACTTGTCACTCGCGAACTTGATTAAACGAGTTAGCTCCGGAGTAGGGCACGGTCCCTCGTACGGTAAATAGACGCTTCCTAATATAATCCTATTTCTAATGCCTCTTACCTTATATTCCAGCAGAATCGCCGTGACATCCCTGGACCCCAATTGTGGAAGTGGTAGCACATTGAGTTCCTTGGACGTCAGTATGCATGTTCTGCTGCTCTCCTCCTCAGTGCCGACCATGATGTTTAGGCCAGTGGCACCCATTCCTCTAACCCCTTTCCTGTAAACATACGATTCCTGTACCAGGACAATCTCGCCCTCCCTCCCTGCCAAGACGCTTGCCAGTTCCCCAGCAGCGTCCTTGCAGTGATGTTGGTTGATTTGGCTTACCCGTATGGTGTCCATGACGGAGTGTATCATGGTACGGCCTCAGCACCTAGTTTTCTTCAGTCTGCTTCGAGGTTCCAGCACCAGATGAGCCCTGGCGCACCACGCTACTCCAAGCCGAGACCCTCTTTACAGAGAGGGTCACCAACTCGAAGTAGAGGGCCCACCCAGACTCCTCCAGGCGCTTCACAACCTCTTGGCTAACCAAGAAGACTAGATGCCATGCTCCTGGTCCCCCTGTGGTCTCCAGATGTTTCCAATTCCTCACGTTAAGGGAGTGGTTCTGGAGATCTAGCATCCTTGTGACCTCTGCCAGGTCCACCTTTTCCTGCCTAAGCCAGAAACCAATCTTCACTGGCCATGGAGCTTCGGCGGCCTTCACCGAAGTGAAAACCACCCCCTCAACAGTCAGAGAAGACCAGCTCTCCAGCAGCCAACGCATCGAGGTGTCGTCCCTAGCCGATACCAAGTACCAGCCCGGGTCGACAAGGCCCGACTTGATGAACTTGAGTTCCAAGCGGGAGGATCCCTTAGTGGAATCCTCCATAGCTCGCCTCATTTCATTGATCAGGCTTGCCCTGATGCGTTCGCTTTCATTTGGCAGAACAGTACCTCCAATCCTGTTCGACAAGATGACCACTTGAAGACTTTTGTCGATTGTTGGTCGACTAGTAGCCTCCTGTCGAGCTTCTACCTTTCCTCTACTTTTCGGTCCCCTCTCCGACGCCTCGACAATGTCTCTCTTTAAGGGAGAGACATACCGCCTAGCATCAGATAAGGGCCTCATCCTCTTTTTATTATGTTCCGGAGGTGTCCCCTTATCCGCCCTCTGCCTTTTGCTGGAGGCTCTTGTTTGAGCCCCCGTTTCCTGCCTCCCTGCATTAGCCAGCGCCGATGGTAATGGGGGGACGTTTTTACCCTTTCTCAGGTATTCCCTCCTTTTCGGACCTCTTGGAAGCTTGCCAGGTTCCCCAATTCGATTTGGCTTTACCCTTACCTGGCTTGAGCAGCTTGGTTGGGAGTCAGCCATCTCGGATCCGGTTGCCTGTTGAGGAACGTCAGATACTACTAGAGAACGTTGGTCCTTTTGTAGCCTCTTCAGTTCCTTTTTAGCCTCCTTTTGCTTGGTTCTCTTCCTCTTATTTTTCTCTCTAGTCCTCTCTTTTCTCCTTTGGGCTTTGATCTCCAGGGCAGTGGCTTTGACCGGCTCTGGTGATCCAGCAGGAGAGTTGAGAAGTTGTACCTCTTCTACTGTCAGTGGTGATGACTCGCTTGCCACCACTGTGGAGCTGAGGGGCTCCGGTGTACGTTCTTTTTGCACGTTACTAATTTCTGTTTTGTCTTCTTCCATAGTTGGTTTTTGTTTTGTTATTTGGGCATATATTTTTGGACTTTGGGCCTCCCAAAACTTCTCCTAGGGCCAACATAACACAACGTGGATCCCGGTGAGGAAGGTTGTCGGCCGCTTTCAAAAAGTGAAGCCCCCCGGAACATGCAGCAGGCCCTCACCCAGGCGCTACCTGGAACTACTACATGTAACGAGATTATACACCGATTGATAGGGCAGCCCCCTGGTACTAGCTAGGTAAGGGTGGGCCCCTGTACTACTCGGCGGCACGGGTGTGCGGTCCCGCTTTATTTCACCGCTACCGAACCAACTCGACCTCGATACGGGGTCGCGTAGCGTTAGCCCCAGGAGAGAGGGGAAGCCTTCCGTCCATGCCAGGTATTGGTGTAGAGCGTGTGTGAGCGCCTGCGTCAATCAGGTTGGCTACCTGCAGGATCAAGTTCCTGGGCGATGGAGTCGCCATATCCCGACGCCAGGGGTTACCTTTTAGTCGCCTTTTACGACAAGCAGGTATTACTGTGGGTCAATTCTACTTTAGTGTCCCCGGTGCCACAGGGGGTCCGGTGTAAATTCAAATACTAAAATGGTGTAAATTTAACTTTCACACAGTATTAAAATATATTTTACCTGGTGTAAATTGAACTCCTTTTCAGTGTTAAATATTATGTGTTTGTGGTCAAATTAAATCATACTACACAGAAAAAAGGAAAAAAAAGGAAACAGGAAGTTCCTTGACGCATTACTAGTATATTACCAGTTGTATTATTCCAGAAAATGGAAGCTTCAACTCGCTAGACATAATGTTTTTAGTTCGTTCCACTAACTTAAAATACTTCAAGTATTGACAGCTGTTTCCACCTATTTAAGGTCTAGTATCGAACAACTTGTAGTGTCACACCAAAGCAAAGGACAACCTGAGATTATATATTCTTCATGTAAGTCAACAGAGGCGAGATTTAAGAACATCACGTGATCCACAAAAAAATAAATACTTATGGGTGAACTAAATCAATATAGTTAAATGAACTATTCCTTTTTTTCTGTGTAGGTGCACTTCTCAAATATTTTTAGATAAACACCGTTTTGGTGTTCATTTTCAACCATAATTCATGGTGTTTTATTAACACCACTTGGTGTTGTATTTTGACACCATTTTAGGATTACTCTTTACACCACAGATATTTTAAACAGTGTAAGTAAAAACTTTAAATAAAAGCTGAAAACTAAAATTAGGCTGTTTTGGAAGAACCGCAAAGAAACAGGCCTCAGTATTGAGAATGTTCTCCTTTATCTTGAATAACAGCTCTCATTATTCGTGGCATACTCTGAATCAAAGAAGCAGCATTATCCTGAAATATCTATTGCCATTCATTTAATAGAGCTTGTTCCAGCAGAACCACTGTGTAAATCTCGCCGTAATTCTGCCTTATCCTTTTGCCACTCCAGGCACCGAGTACTAACATCGTGAAGGTACTGACGAGTTACAAGGGTTGTGTGCGGTCGAGCATTATTCTGCATTAGGAGAAAATGATCTCCAATAAATAGCGCAAAAGGTACCACATGCCCTTCAAGACACTTCCTTATGTACCTATTAGCATTAATGCTACCTTCCCGAAATGTTACGAGTTTCCAAAGAAATATCTTCCGATATCATCAAATCACATGCCACCACCACTAAACTGTACTCTGGGAGGAAAGCAGCACTGCATATAGCGTTCTACACGTCTTCTAAAACATGTTGGCGACGATCAGATAAATATTTGCTGAAACGGGACTTATCCCTAAAGAGAACGCACCCCCATATGTCCAATGTCATGTCAATCAACATGAGTTCGCGTAAATTCCAAGCGCTGCCTGCAATGAGCTGCGTCTAAAAGAGGTCCAGTGGTAGATGGATCAGAAGAATGTTGTTCCCTTAACCTTCTTAGTACAGTATCGGATAAAACTAACGTACTATAAACATCTGTCATCTAGTCAAAGCTGTAGCACTAAGTGTCAGGTCTCGCAGGACTTGGTCACGAAGAAAACAGCCCAGGTAATCTTGAATAAGAACCAGTTTCTCTAAACCATTTTATTGCATCAGATACTGTACTTCAAGGTTTATCAAGTAAGTTGGCGATATATCGGATGTTGCGTATTAAATAAACACTTCTAACACAATTAAATTCTTCGGAGAACCAGTTAATTTTGCTGTCGACATACGCTGAAACGGATGTCATTTATTTTGAAATATGACAATAAAAGTTGTCAAAGTTGTCAAATAAAAAATAACTAAGGCGTTGCCTTTAAAACAATGTATCTTTGTTAATAACAGAATAACGTAGGTAAATAAAAAAACAAAATAGTCAGAAAAAATAGCTGATTAGGAATTCTGAAACAAAAAACTTTTTACTTTTTCACCCTGTTTATTCTTAAATTAATATTAGGATATTTTTTTTTACTGTAGCATCGTTACTAAAGAGCAAATCTACGGTTAAGAAAAAAATCATAATATTCAGGAAATCAACATTAAAATTTTGGCAAATTGTGTCCGGTTAAATTTGCGGTCGAGTGTAGTATATTATGTATTAAGTTTTATAAACGTTATTCTAATTTTAAGTTTTATAAGGCACGAGTGAAGCTAGTGTTTAATAAAAATGGAAGTCTAGAGAAGTTTAAAAAAAACTTTCTCTACGACGAACACAAATAACAAATAACACAAACAACAAAAATATTTGACATCTGACGAATTTATAATAAAGCTAACTTCATCCCGTGAGTAAAATGCCCGAAAGCCCCTATTGCAAACTTCATTCCGTGACTAAAGCGCAATTAAATCACAGCTAGTCAATGGTAGATAAAAACATTTTAAGCGTTAAACAATGTGGTTTTAGCCAAAACATTAGTAGGGATCTACTGAAAATCTTTGTTGGATAAATTAAACTCGAATAAAAGTTCTCGCTGTTTTTCTAGATTCAACCAAAGCATTTGATACAGTGGACCATAAAATTTAATTTTAATAGACAGATTGAATGAAATTGGAATAAAAGGCTTTATCTATATTTAAAAACTATTTACTAAACAGAAACCAATATGTAAAAATTAAAAACTGCCTAAGTGAACCTATAAGGAACCCATCATCATATTTAGTGATTCCTAAATTAATTATTACCATTTGGTACATTTGTTTTCGTTATATGCTATATAATATTTAAACTTGTAGTTTAAATTTATAAATTTTAGGTGGAATGCAAACATGAAATTCTAATAAGCAACTTTAAGGATAAAGAAGATATATTTTACTCAATAATTAAATTAACAGGAACAATTGGAAATAGTACCACTCTATGTACAAAATATTCCAATTGTATTTACGTAATTTTAAATAACAGTATTCATACCAGTGCCAAAGTTACAAACAATAAATTTAAATTAATTCTAAAATTACAAAATAACGTGAACAATTTAGTTCTTAAATATTGTTCTAGTATACTACATTTTACATTAAATTATAAAGAAAGCAATTGTGAATACACTATCCTTCCATTATATATAATTTGCCGTGAACACGATGGAAAGTTTCAAGCACCAGATAATATTATTAACTCTGTTGAATGTGCCTGCAGAAAAATTAATTTAGCGTCACAACTTTTGCAATGTGTTACCGCTGAGAAGCTTTATGAAAATAATTTAGGAAGAAAAAGCTTTCAACTCGAAGAATGTAAAATATTTCAAAGCAATCTAAATTTTTTAGAAGCTAAAAATATGAACCAAAAAGAACTATGGGAGTACTTTGGTAGAGAAATATTAAATTCGAAATTGGGCGACGAAAAGAAAAAATATTTAAGTTTTCTGTCATGTACGTGGTATGATGGTGAAAAATATGATCCAAGTTTTAATAGTTATGAAGATTTGATAAAAATAACGAAAGGCTATGTTGCTTTAGGTGGAGGAGGCTTGGCTCTTTTTGGTACAGCTTCACTATTTACATGGCCCGATCATTTTGAACAACTTATCGATAAGTTTTCTGATAAAACTCCAATAGATAGAACACGTTTTTTAGATGATAGTTGTTACAGGTATGATTTTTCAATATTTAAACTATCTTATCTTTAGTGTTATATTTATTTTTAGGGGCACATATGGGTTTTGTTTTTCAACTACTCTAGGCTCGGTTTTACATGAACTGTTTCACACCTTTGATCTAGGCCACACTGAATATGGAATAATGAATAGAGGCTTTGATGATATTTACAAATTTTTTACAGTTAATTCTGAAACAGGCGTTTCTGATACTTTATCTAAAGCATTTAAAAATAAAATAGAGTTTAAAGAAGAGTTTGAAGCTGAGAAACTATCCGAAAGATTACAGAATGTGTCAAGGAAGAAGCATTTTAGTATTATAAAGAAATATGATGAGACTGATGATACGTTTCTAAGCAAAAGTTGTGCCATTGTGTTGTACTATCACAAGTATGTATAAAAAATAAATCTGTGTAAATGGTCAAAATCGTTACTGAACTTTGCTCGTTAATCCAATGTTGTAAACTCCAAATTTGGTACAAATAGTATTTTATTTATAATAATTATTATTCTACAATATTGTTGGGGCATGGTGTCAAAAATCATTGTAAAACCAATTACCTATTATAGAGATTTATCGCTAAAAATAACCATAGCGTTAAAAAGGATTTTTGCTATTAATTATTTGTTAAAAATGACTTAGTAGCGCGTCGTACAGTGGCTCACCAAGTGGGCTGGATCGCTTCTAATCAAAACTTCGCAAGTTCAACTATTAAAAAATTTAAAAGTAATTCTATAGTTTTAAAACTTGCTGATTCTGAATTTTGGTTTATAATTTCAAAAAAACAAAATGGCTGATCGGAATTAACTGTTTTTGTTACTATAAAGCAACAAATTTTAATAAAAGTCTTTAAATACTTTTTTATGAAGATATTTAATTAGAATTTAAGTATAAGTATGAGTATAATGAACGTACAGCTGGGCGGGGAGTTATTTTTACCATCTTTCGGTTCTTCTACATATCCCGCACATGCCCAGCATTATCTGTATTTGATGGATACGAAGTTTAACCCCAGCTGGTAAATCTCCCTTGGGAGATCGTGGACAAAAGTGTCGATGGTTAAGACCCCTCCCGGACTTTTGTCGCCGGACCGGGCTATACGCTCGCTTAGGCTAGTAGAGTTTACATTTTGGTTTTCAGGGGACGATAGACTGACCCAAAACTAAGTGAAATCCGGAATCCCCCTCAACCAGGGGTTTAGTAACACCCACGTTCAATTGGGTTCATGAATGGGGCTTAGTTAGTTAACCCACTGTAAGGCCAATCTTGCTTCTTAAGGTACTTCTTGTTCGTCTGTGTCTCTGCTGAAAATAACTATGCTGAAAATTCAGAAAGCGCTGTGTACAAATTGTTTGCCACTGCGCGAAAACCATTTCATGTCTTCAGTACCGAAGTGTTGCCGTCCACGACGTAATGTCGCTCTGACTTTGTAAAAATTCAATTTTTAATGCAAGAATGGCATCAAAACGTCCTGCCCATCTGGTAGGATTTAATGTTTTTAAAGAAGATCCTATATCCAAAAAATATATAAATTTGTTGAACGGTTTTAAAAAAGGTTTGCATTTCAATAACCCCTTTTAGTGCATCATTCACAACCAGATTTAAATTATGGGCAGCACAATGAACATATACAGCATTCGGTTCAATATCTCTAATCAGTTTTTGAACTCCACCGTAAGTGCCTTTCATGTTATTAGCACCGTCATACCCTTGCCCACGACATTTATCCAGAGGAATATTTTTAACTGTTATGGATTTTAAAATCTGAGTTTGCCCCTTCGGTTTACTTAGCAGTTCTTGTAATACAGGATCGTATTTTGCCAGCAGTTTAACAATATTCAAAAAATTTCCGCTTGGACTCAATTCATTGCTGTATGTTTTTTCCCGATGTCCACGAAAAGCTACATTACATGTTGAAAGTGTCAACCTAATGTCAAGAAGTCTGGTCAGGACTTGACGACAAACATACTTTTCCTTCCTGAGGATGGACAGGGCCGTTCCTGGCGAGCGCAACATTTTGGGGGCACAAAATCCAAGGGTCAATCAGTACTTTGTAACGATAAACTTTCTTGCAATAAATTCCTAAACATACATACATAAAGGTTACCGCCTTTCTTTGCTTCATGACGCATTAAAGCCTCATGCCGTTTTTTTTTCGGCCGCAAGCGCCTTTTAAAGCTCTAATATTGGCGGCTTAATTTTATCAAAATTAAAGAGAGAAATTGTCCTAATATTTTAGTATTTGTTTGATAGTTGCAGTTGACGGTAGCAAAGTTTAAGTTTGTAACGAGCTTACGTCACTAAAAACCAGTCATAGTTATTATATTTTTATATAGTTGTTTTTGTATTCTTTAGGGTATTTTTATTACTAAATATTTGTTGGTAATTTTGTTTTGGTAATTACCTAATTCAATAAATATTTTTATCTACTCCTATTGCATAATTTTGAGGTTTTTTCGTGAATATTCATAAACATTAAAAATTTCCTGCCTAACAACGTGAATAATGAACTCATTATTCACGTTGTTAGGAACTAGTGATTGGCCGATTTCAATATTCACTGTGATTTAAACCAATCGGGTTTTAAATTGGAAGAAGGGGACTTTAATAACATTTAAAATTGGTAAAAAGTGACGTTAACCATTTGACAGATGTCAGATTTAATTTATTTAATTTTGAAAATCCTTTAATTATCCACTTATTGGAGTAGATAAAGTATAGTATTACACTTGAAATTATGCTCATTATTTACTCGGATGATTTAAGTCTTTCGTCTGGCGACTCGAGACGTAAACTTCATCCTCTTTAATAATAGAATAATAGCCTGCATTATCTCTAGTACAATAATATACTATTTATATTTAATTTCAGCAGTTTTTTTTAGATTTTTAATTATATATTACAGTTTGTCGCAAAATATATATTTTTAAAACTTTAGGGCTTAAAATTAAAATATTTAATGTATTATTTTTAAATATAAAAGGGGCGCACCAAAGAATGCTGCAAGTAGGCGCCAGACACCCCAGGAACGGAATCGTTTTCTTCATCCAGTGTTCCATTTAAACGCCATTGTTGGTATAAAAAGCATGCATCTAAATGATTTTTGGATGTTTCCTGTCTTTCTATTGCTTTAACAACATGCTTCCAGTCGTCATACCCTTCAATCCAAACATTTTAAAAATGTTTATATCCGGATAGAGGCCTCTATTAGCAAATAACCAACATGTTTCACAATATGCTTTTTGATGCAAAAGAGAATAGGACAGCCATGTACCTTCTAGTTTCACGACAGACATAGAAACAATATAATAATATTTGTCCAAAAAACATCTATTCTCTCTATCTTTTAAAAAGGGGCCTTTCGGTTTACAGTGTCCGTTTAAAATAACAAACCGTTTCACTTGATCATTCAGTTATTTAAAATTTTCCTTATCAGTCACACATTGAACACCTACATTTTTTTCCTCACCAAAAAAATCTTTACTTTGAGTTTTGCTCATACCTGGTTGAGGTTCCTCTGGATTTTCTTCAGGATTGTTATTAAAAAATGGTTCACTTTGAGTTTTGCTCGTACCTGGTTGAGGTTTCTCTGAATTTTTTTCAGGATTGTTATCAAAAATGTTTTACTTTGAGTTTGGCTTGTACATCTACTTCAGGATTATTTTGTTAACGACATTTTGTTTTAAACATGATTAAATATTTTAAAACATTTTTAAAATGTTTAAACCGATTAAAAAGTTTTAGTTTTTAAAATTGACAATTAAATTTAAATTGAAATAATTTGCTGCGAATTCCAAAAAAAGTGAATCCAAGAATTTTAAGTCAAGTATCCAATCCAAATTAGTTTATATTAAAATTATTATTATAAATAATAAAATTGTGTGCTTATTAGTGTATAGTATTAGTATACGCACACTTTACGAAGTGAAACTTCTATCTATACGACAAATCGTTTTTATTTCATTTTATATTTAACTACGTCTATAAACAATTTAAATTGTTATTATCTTTCTTAATTTATTTAAAGTAGTAGAATGATTAAATGAATGTTACTGTCATCAAGTACCTGCTGCGCATAGATACAATCATCATGCAGTTTAGATAATTAATATTAAAAAACATACCTACTTAGTTATGTTTTTATTATTATTTATATATAATATACAGGGTGATTCAAAACTCGAGGCAAAAAATTAAGAAATGTATACAGTTTTATATTCTTGATAAAAAATGTAAAATAAAATTTTTGGAGATGTGGCTTTGTTTCCGAGATATTAGACTTCAAAGTATTTGCATGTGATCAATTTTTAACTTTAATACATAATATAATATATATATATATATATATATATATATATATATTAGGGTGTGCCAAAAAAACTCGATATTTTTTTTTCTTGCTCTCCACCCAAAATATCGTACAATATGTCCGAACAAATATTCTGTTAAAAGCGGAGCTCATAATTTCAATTTTAAGAGGTCCCTCATCGAATCTGAAGTTTTGCCGCTTAAATAACACAGAAAACTGACTTTTTTACCTTATTTATTCTTGCAACCTAGGAAGATTTTTTTTTTCGTAAAATCCATGACTAATTCTTACAAAGCATTAAATTTGGACAAAAAAATCTTATTAAGCCGAATTTCTATTTTCATTATTTAATTTTTTACTTAGCTTTAAATTTAAAGATAATAATACAAAAATGATGACTTTATACGCCTGTAACTTTTAGAATATTGACGATATAAAAAATTCGCCTAAAACTTTTTTGTGGTCCATCAGACAAGCTAAAAAATTACCATTTAACTTTTTCGTCTAACTTCAATAGTTTAGCTGAAAAAGGCAAAAAACGTAAAATTTTAAATTTAAAGCTCTGTAAAAAATTAAATAATGAAAATAGAAATTCGGCTTAATAAGATTTTTTCGTCCAAGTTTAATGCTTTGTAAGATTTGGTCATGGATTTTATGAAAAAAAAATTTCTTCCTAGGTTGCAAGAATAAATAAGGTAAAAAGGTCAGTTTTCTGTGATATTTAAGCGGCAAAACTTCAGATTCGATGAGGGACCTCTTAAAATTGAAATTATGAGCTCCGCTTTTAACAGAATATTTGTTCGGACATATTCTACGATATTTTGGGTGGAGAGCAAGAAAAAAACTATTTCGAGTTTTTTTGGCACACCCTAATATACCTATATACATATATATATATTCTTGCAACCTAGGAAGAAACTTTTTTTTCATAAAATCCATGAGCAAATCTTACAAAGCATTAAACTTGGACGAAAAAATCTTATTAAGCCGAATTTCTATTTTCATTATTTGATTTTTTACAGAGCTTTAAATTTAAAATTTTACGTTTTTTGCCTTTTTCAGCTAAACTATTGAAGTTAG